CCGTTTTTTCGTCATTACGCAGTTTGCTTAACAAGGTTAGATTATCTGGCTCTCAGTGCATGAATCATTGTCGTTCGTACTTGAAAAGTTGTTCAAGACAAATGCGAGGTTGCTGAAGCGAATAAAATTACAAAGGATGCAATAGCCATACATAGGCCGAAAGCAAGGTACAAGAATTTATTTTTCATGCCTGTTGGTGAGTTACGCAAGTATGCTTTGATCTCTTGTTTTTCTTTAATAGCTTCCTAGGACTTCTCGGTGAAGTGATATACAACATGTATATTTCCGTAATTAATTTTAATTTGCGCCACATATAAGTTTAACCTGTAAATCATTTACTTATACCGTAAAAACTAGCCAAAACGAGATTATGCGCCATTCTAGTGGTGTAAACGAGTTACTCCTAAATGTTTTACTCTTATTTGCGATAAGCTCTGTTCTAGCATAATTTATGTTGCACTTATCTGGTATATGTCTGAAACCTTCAAATGGACTGCAAAAGTCGAACTGTGAAAATGTTGATGGGTTCTTCGTTCCGTTTGTTTTTGTGGTCGAGATTTTTTTTATCACGTTATGCGAAAATCTGACTGTATCAAAAATAAAATAATCTCTTAATGATCGGATCAAGTGATCTTGATGCAGATAATTTCTGTGACACTCATCGTGTGAGTGACATGGCTGATGGAAGCTGGCCGGTCCTTTTTGCAACTTATGTTTTGATTTTTCTAAAGCAATCTTTACTACACACTTCGAAATTTTTCAGAAAGCTCTGTAGCGTCAGTCAAGAGATCATTTAATCGCGAAACGATGTCTCATGCTTTTTTCCTTTGTAAATGAGAAGGTCGATTTTGTCTCCGTCAACTGTTCTAGCCAGAGTGGCTTTTAGGAACTGCAGTTCAAAGCACCCTCGGTTGTGAGCCGTTCTTAGATATATGGTCGCGATGCCGGAACATTGACCTATAGACAACCGTACACGGTTGACCGAGAAGGGGATTGGTCGAATATAGTGGAACGTAATTTTTCGAACTATTTGGAGTCCAGCCCGTGAAGATTATTTGCCCTGCAAATGACTGTAGTCATTAAATAGACCTCTGGAAGCTTCCCTTATATATTTGCATTAGAATATTTGATTTTTCTAATTTGTTTCAATGCCTACCCGTTGTGTCGCCAGGCAGCCCTATAGGGGTTCATGACTTGCTTTATTGTCATCGATTAAATGCACGAAAATTTATTTAAAGCTGGTGTACTGTGCTTTAATTTTATCGCTGTTACCACAGCACAGCATGTATGGCATTAATTGCCCGCAAGGGATATGTTTGTTATTGTTGCGTTATCACCATGACAGGCTAGCAACGCTTAAGCAACCGAGTAACAAATTTATGATATTTGACTTTTAGAAATGGTATCTCAGATTGATATTAGGCTGCGGCTAAGGTAATATTCCTAGTTTCTAGCCGGTCTATCTCAGTGAGGTGTTTTCTATGTCTTTTATTGTCTTCTAACCCGTCTATGTCATTTTTGGGTGGTTTTCACTTGAGAAAAGTTTTATAAAGATCTTTTTCATTTACGGCTGTTTTATTAAACAGTTAGGTGCCAGTCTCTGAGTTAATCTGAGAGTTCTCTCAAATCATTGCCCGTCAACAGCTTGCTCATTCATGACCTTGTTGTACCATCGCATTTTATGGACAATTCGTAGACAGCGTTATTGGAACAGCTTTGCATGAAGCTCATAGTTTCAGTGCAAAAGATGTTTCGAGACTATTCATGAGCACCGCGCATGCAGTTGCTTTCAGATTGTGATCTTCTTGTTTGTTTTTATAGTTTGATCCTTCGCCGGTTCATTTTGGATCAATATCGCCATTGTTAGCTAACAAAGTTGTAAGGTATTTGAAATGGTTCATCTCTTCCATCGTAATATCATGTGATAGAATTCTCAGACTGGCGGTCTCAGGGGATTTCTTTATGACCTTCGTCTTTTTGGCACTGAGTTGTAGCCCTTCTTCAACAGAGAAGCGGTATACATTTTCGGTGAGGGTTAGCAAGCCACTTTTGAGTCACTCAGCAGCATTGTGTCGTCGTCAGACTCAAGGTCAGTTAGGAATACCACCGGCTATTTCAAACTGTATCGCTAACTAACGGTCAGCTACTCATTGCTATTTGAGACGCTTTCTGCTTTTTGTTTTCTGTTGCCTTCGTTATATCCTGATGCATTACGTTGGTGTTCATTGCTTTTCCTGATTCTTCTTCGTGTATTGCATGGACGACGTCGAACTGGTTCTTTAATCTGAGTTGGAATAGTGAGGAAGGACGGATTATTTAGTGTTTCTACATCGAGTGTGGTCATCATCATTATTTCCTTCTTTCTGAAGTTGATTTCAGGCTCACTGTTCATCTAAAAAACCCGGTGGTCGTTCCATGCATTAACTCTCTTCAGCACCGTGATATACTACACTGTTTTTGAGGATTAGTGAGGATAATATAGATTTCATTCCTTATGTCGTTTGGGTCTTTCCATATTTACCGTTTGGTTTTTTTGCAAAAATATTAACTTTAGATAACTTGTTCTTTTCACCCCCTTCCCGTCCCACTCCCAGGTTCAACTAGTCCGTCGACTCTGTTCGTCCTTTCGCTCTAATCAAATCGACCCACGGTGCATCTGTTTGCTTTTTGCCGTCCGACTTGTTGGAATCACCATTGCTGAAATTTCACTGGTTCTTTATATACATGCACTTCTTCCATTTGCTAAAAATTTCTGTCTTCATCAGTATGGCTTCATGTCTGAACATATGTTTGGATCAATTGCAGTTGGTATCTTTTTGAAACATTCAAAACCAGTATTGCATGCCCTTCAAAAGTGCTGCTGCATACATTGTTTTTTTGCCTTGTGTGGATAGTGAACCGTGCTTCCCCTGGTAGTTACATTTACTGATACTTTGTACAGTAAGAGTAGGTGCCCACTTTTAGGCTCTAGCAGCCTTCCTTTTTTTCATCTAACTCTTTTGAGTCTACGATGTACCACTTAATTTTTTCAAATTCCTCTTCTTGCTGAGGCATTATTTCAAATAGAAATGGATCTACTGTTGTGTGTTTCCAGCTTTTGTAAACCTTAGCACCTTTGATCCCTAAACCGGATATTCTGGCCACCTCTGCTTTCATGCCTGACCACATTCGTCGGCTGCGGTCTAGCCTCCGGGGAATAACGGTCTTGTTTTTAGTTGTGATATCATCTTGGACGATTTAGCCGTAGCTCATCATGCTTTGCAGTGCAGTTTATTAAATCTCGCATCTTCCACTTGACCGGGTACGTTTTTTAAGATTTCATTGCATGGTTAAACCTGCCAGACCCCGGAGGCTCAGCTCTAATCATCGTGAAAACTCGTTGTCACCCTCCTACCATGTTGAACTAGTGAAAGTACGACTTGAGACGGATGTATTTGCACGTATGCTACTTTAATGTTGCTTTTTCATGAACTTTGAATCACAGCGATGCCATCCTGCGGTGATAGCAGAAATCATTTTTCTGACTGATACATCTTATTGAACGATGTTGAATGTTTTATTCGTCATTGCTGCCGATTCATATTGCCACACTACCGTAGTGTCATACATTGTGTTGCTGCAAAATAATGCTGGTTCAGTACAGTAACTTCTTTTGTTAAGTAATATTGAATATTGATTATTTTATTTGCTATTCCTGCACAATATTATTACTAGTATTTCGGTGCTGTGTTGTAGCCCAGAAGATATGCTTGCAGTCATCTGACTGATTTGATTAAATGATATAACGTTTTATTCTTCATAACTGTCTGACAATAATGTCTGAAAGCTATGTTTAAAAACAGAGTACACTTATTTCGAAAATGTTACTAAAACCATTTCGAGGCGTCCTGTTTTAGTCTGATGCCCGCTCAGCAGTTGCGATGATCGCCAATTCGAACGCCGATTTACGGAGGTCAAATAAAGTGATCAGGTTTGTACATGATGTATTATTTAGATTACGTTGTATCAAGGTGTATTATACTTTCTTTTAACTGTTAATTGTTTAATTGACTTATTTTTAATTTTGTTTGTTTTATTTATTTGTACTGATGTTTAATTATTCGTACGACTTAGCTTATATTTAGAATTATTTCAGGTACAAACCTCCGGATTCCAGCATCGCCCCCGACGATCCTACCCCAGACTACATGAATGTGCTTGGTATGATCTTCAGCATGTGTGGTCTTATGATGCGAGTAATTGCACCGTTTGGCATTCTTTCTTCCTCCTTGTCAGTTTATTATTTTGTTTTAGCTCAAATGGTGTGCCTGGATCGCCCTTTACTGTTCCTGCATCAGCTTTGCCAATTCAAGGTCTTACGATGATGCCAAGCAGATCGTTAGCAGTTTCATGTATTATATATATTTTAATTTGCTGTGTTTTTCCGCTAGGGACACTAATGACGGGCAATATAAATTTTTCTTTTATTCATTAATATTTTATTTGATAATTATATATCCATATATCTTTTTATATGACATGCAGAAACAGAAAGGTCAGGAAAAATATTTGGGAAATTAGCTACTGATTCATACCATAAACCTATGTCACAGGATGCTGCAGAAAGATCTGGCGAAATGGATC